ACCGTTCGTCTCTCACTTGCAGCCTCCAGCATTTAAGTTTACGACAGAATTTGTTGGTTCCCAAATGCCCGACTTCACATCCCACAATGCGAGATTTCATCCCACCTTCAAAGCTACCCGCTTCGTCCTCTTCTGTCCCAGCCTCAGCCCCCTCGTACCACACACCGTAGCTAGGCTTTAAAAGCCACGTGCACAACTGTACAATGGCTTTGAAGCTCTAACATCATATAACCCCTGTACTATTTACAGACCAGCTAACAGTAACTTCTCCAAACCATCACCGTCCAAAGCAAGCAAACGCCAAGTGGTCTGCGGGGAATGATTTCATTCTCTAAATGTCTGAAGTCGATTTAGTGCTGGTGAGGGCAGCCCGGCACTGAAACCCCTCTGTTTATAGGCACAAGTTCCCCTTAAACCCACCACAACCCGTCTCCCCTAGAGGGGCCGCCTACAAGCACAAGGACAGCTCAGTCTGCGCGGGGGCCTCTCAGGGGAAGAAGTGGGCGCCTGAAAACAGGCCGAGGTCGTGGTCATGTTACCCGAGCCACCAAATGGTTCTGGAAGAAGCCCAAGATAGACTAGATAGGTCGCGGGACACGTGCCAAGGCCAGAGGGCCCAACTGCGGAGAAACGCAGCAGGAGCGCTGGGCCACAGATGTGAAGTGCCGCTGTCGCAGCTCCTTCCGCCTCCCAGCTGGCACGCGACCCAGCAAGCGTACTAGCGGAGCGCAGGCTAAGCAGCCGATTCCCTGCCTGCTTTGAGCTGCACCCTGATGTTACCGCGGTTCCTGTTTCTGGCTGGCAGTCTCCCTTTGGTGTTTTCACGCTCCCTCAGGGATGCAGGCACAGCCACACGAGACTAATGAAGAATTCAGCTCTTCAGCCCAAATTTAAATGGGCCCAGCAGGGCCAGGCGAGAAGAGCCAGGCAGTGTGCATGGAAGCAGGTTTTGGCATTTTGTGTTTTCACACCTCGGCACAGTCACAGTGGAGGATGTGATGAGAGCACTTGCTGGGGTAGTCTGGAAGGGAGAACAGGCTTGGAAAGGCTGGTCACCAAGGGATCTGCTCCCAGCAAACAAAGTGGCCTGGGCCTGACTCCCCCCTCCCCTCCACAGTGGTAACCCCCAGGGCCAGATCAGCCTTAACTACAGAAGTGGCTGAAGCCCAGGAAGAATCGGTCTGTGGAGGCATTTGTGCCCTGGGACAGTATCACCCAGCAGTCAGGGCCCCACATTCAGGCCCAAGTTTCTGTAGTTTAATGGAAGAGTAGCCCAATAAAGCATATTACTACTCAAGGAAACAAGTGCAACTTGGATACTCAAATGTGTTCTGTTTGAGTCATGTTTGGCACCCATAAGCAATACAATGATTGCCCCACAGCCTTAACATGAAAAGGGATTGCTGTCTCACAGGGAGCCAGGGGGAGAACTCAAAAGGCCTTGCTCTAAGACTGCATGGTTTCTAGCAGGGAGAAATGGCTATTTCTTTCCCTTGATGTCCAGCTGCCCTGCCCCTGCCTGGACTGTCCCTATCGCATGGCTTCTCTTCCTCCCTGCTGGGGCTCTAAGATTTCCCAGGTGAGAGACGCCCTTTCACAAAGAAAAAAACCCTCTGACTGGTCCAAAATCCACAAGGCGTACTAACAATACTCATACGCCATCAGTAAATCTCCACTCGCACCCTCTTGAGAACCTGTGAGCTGCAGTACCCTAGTCCCTTTGGTGGCATCTCCCCTGAGGATCACTCGAGTGTCTCCTTCACATCAGCCGTTGCATGCAACACACAAAGGGAGTCCCCAGAGCACTAGGCCAGAGAGAACAAGACATTCCTGGGCAGGGGGAAAGCGTCTCACTTGGAGATGAAGGCTGCTTCCTTGAGTTTCTCAGGATCTTTATTTTGTAGGCAGACACGCCGGCTGTAGGCTCCTCGGACAGCAGTGGGCTTCCCACTCGTTTCATCAGATACTTATTCATCGTGGTAAAGTGCTTCACGGAAGATGTAAGAATTAAAGCCACGTTACCTGCCCCAGAGAGTTTACAGACCAGATTTTGGCCATGAGATGAGCGGTGAAAATGACAATGGAGAGAAAGGAGGGCTGGAATAAGGATGGACTGGGGTTACAAAAAGGAGCACAGCTGTTTGAGGAACATGCATGTACTGGTGGCTCTGTGCAACTTTGTACGCAACGAAGACAATAGCATCAGTTCCCTTACGTCAAGGTTAAAAGCGAGTCACAACTCTGAGCAGCGATTCTGCTCCTCTTGGGAAGTCGGTCCCAAATGCACATGCACACACGATCTCTAGCTACGTCCAAGGCAAGAAGTTGCAATGCAGAATCAGTCCCAGCAGCCAGAAGGACAGGAAGTACCCCAGAACACATTTGGTCAAAGCAGTATTCCTTCTGTAATTCAGCAATAATCGTGGAAGGGGGTTTTCAGAAACCCCTGTTCCAAACAACCCCAGAAGAGCGCTGCCTAGAGGGGGCCACTCAGAGAGGGAAGCTGCAGTCTGGGTGGGATCCCCTTCTCGCCACAGCAAAGCGTTGCTGTCCTGGAGCAGGTAAGCAGAGAACCAGTACAGCACCGGGGAGGACGAGCCTAGGAGCCGCGTTAGGACCTGAGAACGACAAGTGGAATAAGGAATCGCACTAATTACAGGCCTGTGAATCCAGCCACCCTCCATTGCGAAGAAGGAAAGGGACAATCTGTCTCAGACTACTGGTCAGTTGGAATGAAATACTGCCCTACTCCATGGTGCTAGAATTTATTATGCTCAGGGCAAAATGCGTCTCAGCTCAGAGTTACCCAACAAAGACAGCTGGGGAAGCAGCCAAGTAACCTCTAGATTATAAAAACAGTAACAACCCCAATTCCTCTGGTACTACGCAAAATGTCCACCAAACCATCTCCAAGAGCCCAGTGCCTGAGCAGTGCAGTGGCTAGCGGTTCCCAAGATTTGAATTCTCCTGTCTTTGCCTCAAGAAAAGGAGAAGTCCAACCCTTGGATAACAAGGATATTTCCCATTTATGCAAGGCATCCCATCCTGAAGGATCCCAAGACACGTTACAGATACGATGCATGTTGCATGGGGAAAGCAATGTGGGTAAAATGCCTAGTTTGCCTCCTGGGAAAGATAAGGGACTGCAAATGGCTTACAGAGCTGTGAACAAAGTGCTGGTCGTGGCATCCCTTATCATGTGCGCCCTGCATCATTCCAGACCCCTGAACAGACTGGAGGCCCAGAACCAAACTCATTCTCCACGAGTCTCTAACTGTCGAGCACATGTAGGCACTCACGTCCACAGATGTGCCGGGGACATGCCAGCACCACGGGGTCAGCCCGAGGGGCGGCAGGGCAGCAAGTCCAGAAAACGGAGTCCAGTTTAAGCAGTGAGAGACAGGGCAAAACAAGTGAGCTCTTCCTCCACTTGAGGTTTTGTTTCATGCTTCATGACCCATACCTGGGTTTCCCCCAAGCCGGCTCCTGCAACCGCCTTCCTTGTGTCGGTAGCAGTGTCAGAAGCAGTTCTGAATCAATTCTAGGGACTGGCAAGGGTCTACAGAGCCTTTCATTTCCAGGCCACCATTTCAGATCCCACCCAAATTGGTAGTGGCCCAACATCAGGACCCCCCCCCCCCCCGGGAGC